AGCCTGAGAGTCCGTGGAAACTGACAATTTACTTTATTGGGGTATTTAATTTAATTTTGGGGAAAAATCCACACAGACGTGGGTTATTAAATGGACATAAAATGTATTGAGCCAAAAAAAAAAAACACCTTTCGATAGAAATTGACATACGTGTGAAAAAAAAGCAAGTTTCTTCTTACTCATTATTTTGACGAGCGTCTGATTTCACCACGCTGCCTCACATATTATATGAACCGATCATGCCACCCCTCCCGCCCAGTAAAACCATGTGATGTGAACGTTTTATTTTCGATTTCTTCGACTTTTACAATACCTAATAAATGAAGATAACAAATGAATAACAAATACACCCTTATCTCGCGTCGTTCAAGCTATTTATGGCAAGCAGTATTAATATTTACACAATTTATGTCCGGGTTAGTTTTTATAAACAAGGCTTTTAACTTTTTCTCCCCTTTTCCATCCACGCGTCCTATTTTTGTTAATAAAGTTATCATGTCCCGTATTAGAAGGGCGCGCGCGCGCGCGCGCGCGCGAGAGAGAGAGAGAGAGAGAGAGAGAGAGGGGGGGAGAGAAAAAAAGAGAGAGGAAGAGAGAGAGAAGGAGAGAGAGAGAAAGAGATGGATATGAAAAAGATAGATATAGAGAGATAGAGAGAGAGAGAGAGAGAGAGAGAGAGAGAGAGAGAGAGAGAGAGAGAGAGAGAGAGAGAGAGATAGTTGGGGCAGAAGGAAGAAAGAAAAAAAACATTTTAAAAGATAGAAAACGAGTATGGTTTGTAATTGTGAGAGTGTTTCCTTCCATTTCTCCCCCAGCCACCTGTTTACCCCCAAGTGGTCCAAACTGACGTCAGGTCACGTGTGGCGTGACGCAGCCTCCCAGGTCTTCTTCTCCCTGTCCCTGGGCTCTGGTAGCGTCATCACAGTGGCCACATACAACAAGTTCACAAACAATGTCTTCAGGTAAGGACTTTTTTAGTTTTAGTAAGTGTTTTACAGCACTTGCAACACTATTAGGTCATATGAATGCCGAAGATTAGAGGTTTCCAAGAGAGTAACAAACGCATAAAAGAACGAGGAGGGATACGGATGATAGATGTTTGGTAGGAAAGAACGGGGCAAACCACGCCAGAGCACCCACAAGTAAGGACTATACTCATCCTTTCTTTGCAAGCTCATGTGACCATGAGCTTTTGTAACTGGTGTAAAACTCTTACCAAACAAACAAAAATTCTTTATTTTTTCTCAAGTCTATTTTTTCTTTGGAGATGTTGCATCCTTCTCAGCCCAGACCATACACTTACAAGGCAGGGTGGTACAACCCGACTCCTGAAATGTGTACATTGACTCGAATAGAGCGTAAAACGTGAACAATACTCCCGTCTAAAAATAAGAAAAAGAAAGCAAAGAAAATTCAAACACCCCCACCCTCCAAAGTACAACAAAAACGACACAAAATAACCCTTCCCTAAATAGAAATAAACAAAACAAAACGACAAAAAAAACCCCAAAAACAAAACCCCAAACAAAGCAAAATTTACAAAAAAGTCCACAAGCTCCACTAAACAAAAGGTAACAAATGAAACCTTTGAGCGAGAATTTGCGCTATACAAATGTAGGGACCAAATGAAAAACAGTTTAACTCACAGTAGTCCTTCAACATCTTAGTCTATTTTAAACATTTAAAAAAGATGGACTCTTTTTTATTGTTAACTTGATTTGATGTGCTAAAAATCGATTTTTCATAGGAAAATTCAACAGGTTCTCTTATAATGCTTGTACCCTGATCTTTTTCGGAAAATCACTTATCTCATGTTTTACTTGACCTCTTTGAATACTATACATTATTAGTTATAAAACAGTGTGTTTATAAGCAATTTTGTAAACCATTGATGCATAATTTACTCTAACAGGGAAGCAGCGCTTGTGTGTCTCCTCGACACGTCCGTGAGTCTGTTGGCGAGTCTGGTCATCTTCGCTGTGGTTGGTGCACTGGGGCGAGCTACAGGTCTTGGTGTGGAGGCGGCCGCGCAGGCTGGTGAGTACAGGGGGCTCAGATAGGCAAACAGTTAGCTCAGTTGATGTCATACTAGCCTGGTTCAAACGGGACATATTGAATGTGGGTCGTTTTGGGGGCAGTTTTCTAGGTTCTCCGCCCTTTCGGCTCTGTTTATTCATAGGGGCGTTAAACCTAGATCTATACAATGAAATGACTGCGAGATATAGGCACGACAAGGTCTATTATCACGATTCCCATGCACGCATAGTCTGTTGTAATCTTTTCTGTCTTCTTTTTATAGAAAACCGAAATCAAAATAATATGCTTCTTGAATACCAAGTTCATATACCCTCTCTCAAAGACGAGGGAGGGGGAAAATAATCAGGTAATTTTTTTTTCACTTGTAGTCCCTTTTCAGGTCTTAACAAATATTGACATTTAAGTATCAACTTTGCCACTTCCTTGTAACCTATATGGATGGTTGAAGGGCGCCACAAGCATATCCAGCTTCTCTCTTTTCCTAATATGTTGTTCTTGTGGTCTTTCTCTTTCTCTGCACACTGAATAGGCGTTGTGTCGATCTGCATACAAAACAACCGAAACCTAAACATTCCCAGGAGAGTGGTTTGAGGGTGTAACTGGTAGGTCGTACTTCTTCCCCCCTCCCCTCCCCCTTGTTGTTTCTGTCTGTCTTCCTTGCCTTCTCCCAGCACTGAATGCCGTTATTGTATCGATATTATGTTTCTCTTCTTTCTCTTTGTCGTCCCTGTCTGTCTTACCCTTTACCTGCACCAATGACCGTTCTTGTGTCGATGTGCAAACCAAACAAACTGAAAGCTAAGCGTTGACATCAATCCTGTCGTCCTTCCCCAGACCTGGGCTTGACCTACGTGACCCTGTCTCACGCCACCATGCAGCTCCCTTGGCCACTGTTCTGGGCCATCCTCACCTTCCTGATGCTGGTCACCTGTGGTGTCTTCACCTGCGCCGCTACCATGGCAACGGCTATAACCGCCGTCATGGATGTGTTCAGCACCAGCCTGAAGAAGCAACGAGTGTGGTTGTTGCTGTTTATGTCTCTTGGGGCTCTCGTGCTGGGTCTACCCATGATCGTACAGGTAGAGTGAATGTTGACAAGTTTGTTGAAATGATCGTACAGATAGAGTTAAAGTTGACAACATTGTTGACATTGTTGTAATTCAGTGTCAAAGTTGACACGTTTATATTGGTAGAATTAAACTGGCAAGATCTTGAAAGATAGCCCACAGTTTTCTTTCCCTGCCTATCTCCTTTTACCTCCGTTAGTCCTCTTTTGTGCATGCTGATTGATGACTGTTTTCACTGGCATCTGTGGTATAGTGGTGAGGCGCTTCATCGTCGCACGCAGAAGACCCAAGTTCGATTCACAGTGAAGAAAGAATTTTATCGAGTTGTATCCCTCTTAACCCGGGTTGACCCAGACAGGCAGGGTCGAAACCCGTCTCCTAATTAATCCAAATTGTGTTAATGCGGGCATAAAACACCCACCTAAAGAAAAGATTAAAAAAATATATATATTGTTTTCCAATATGTATGCTAACCAAAATAGCGGCTACGGTCCTCTCGAAAACTGGGTAAGGTTTACAGGCATTCCATTTTTTCATAAAGAGCCCTTGCTTGTGGAGGAAGCACATGATAATTTAGCAGGTAGTGTCTCAGACTTCTTTTATCCGCTCTTGAGAGAGCCCGTCTGTAAAAGGAATTTTTTGCTGACTCTTTGTGTGATGAAGGCGTTTAAGCGGATGCACCCCACAACTGTGCAAGATAAGTTTCAAGAGGAGTCGAAAACACTACAAATAGCCTTCACGACCAAGAGGAGACAGACTCGCACACAAGAAAAGTGTGTGCGGGACACAGGGAAAAAAAGTTTGCTCCAAGGAGTGGTTAGGCGTGTCTCAAACCAGCTCCTCAAGGAGACAATTAGCAGGAAGACCCTGGGGTGGACGCTGGAAAGGAGAGATGAGCAGCAGCTATGGACCTGTGCCGCCTACTATGATTCTAGCTCTGGATTCACGTAATCCAAGTACAAATAAGAATCACTAGAGCCTTTTCAAGTCGACCATCATTTCATGGAGAAAAGGGGTCATCTTAGATGTGTAGTCGTTACTACATCGGTGTGTTTCTGTTGTTTTTTTTCTGAGTTGTAACTGTCTGTCTTCCTTTCTCATTCCCTGCGCTAAATGGTCGGTATTGTATCGGCGTGTTTCTCTTCTTTCTTTCTGTCCCCCCTCTCTTTATAATACCCTAGAGAATGTGCAAGTGAGTGCGTGGGAGGTGGTCGTATGTACAGGCGATTGTTTTGGACAGGTGGTCGTTCGATTAGGTTTGACTTTGTTCCTACATTTTTCTCGGTTTTTTTCCTTCTCAAGGTTGGATTCTACGTAGTGGACGGCATAGACACTCACATGTCTGGCCTACCCCAGGTGTTTGTAGGCGGGGCCACTATCTTGGCCTTGATCTGGATCTACGGGATTGGTCGCTTCTGTGGTGATATCAGCAGAATGGTGAACTCTTCCATTGGTTGGTGGTGGAGGCTGGTGTGGGTGCTGGTGACGCCTTGCCTCATTGCCGTGAGTTCTATAATACCATTCTATGTTGTGTTTAGCTAGTGCGTCAATAGCGGTTTTTTTTTTTGGGGGGGGGGAGGGGTGAAGTCGCTTGTCGAGTGGTAGGCTACCAGACCCGTAGTCGTGAGATCACAGGTAATAGGGGGTGCCCACTAGCATGATCGGGTCTGATCGGGTCTGGTTGGGTCGCTTTGGTAGTCGGGGTTAGCCGATCAACTCTGTCGGTGACCTTAAAAAATAAACGCGTTTGTTTTCAGGCCTACGAGTCGTGCGATCGGGTGGTTTGCAGCCAATTACAGCAAGGCTGAGTCACGTGTCCATGTTGACACTGCGATGTCTAGGTCGGGCATTTCCGCCCGAAATACCATCAACAATTGACAACAATGGAGTCCATCAACTTACAGAAGATAATACTAATAGAAAGTTATCGATGTAACCCATGTTTATGGGATTCCGGGCTGCCGCAGCACTGCAAAAGGGAACTGCGGAAAGGAGCCCTGGAAGCCATTAAGGTTAAAGGTTTTTCTACTTTAACTTCCAGGTCGTCGCGTACAATCGCAGCAGGGTTTTAGTGTGCACTGAGACCACCAGAAACCGACCCGCCCCGATCGCACTAAAGGGCACCCCCTATAAGAGGGTTCCAGACCCAGCTCGGTCCGATTCTTGAGTCCCTGGGAAAGGCTTTTCGAACGAATATTCCCATTTGGCTCGCTCCTATCGAGGATGGACTTAATATTCAGAGTTCCTAACAGTGTTGAAGGCGTTAATTCTATACAATTTCGCCCATTTCCTTACTTTGGTCAACGTTATTTTGATGGTTTCCGTTGCAGTGTGTTTGAAAAGGTTTACACTTCACCTCGAGAATATTTGCTCTCAAAATATCAGGAAGAACCTAAGTCAAACGTGTGAATACTTCCTCTGGTTATTTAGAGGGTGGGTCTAATTGCTGAAGTTAATTTCTAACAATACTACACCCCTTGAAGCAAAGGGGGACAACAAGGGATTTCTTTAGGAAGAAAGGAGAAAAATAATGGCTTATGTCCCCTCGTTAAGCTTTGCCTCTATTTTTAATGAAAAATTATGGTTGTACACCCCATGTATCGGCTGGGTGCTGCTCTGTTGAAAAAAAACATCCTTCACAAATTTTAATTTTTAGATCTTTTTGCACTGGATTGGGCAATACATCTGATCTATGCTGAACAAGACAGTAAACGTTGAAGAAAATAAATGTTTCTAAAAGTATTTCTATTTTTTTTTCAACCAAATTTCTGCTTTTATTTAATGTTTCTTGATAATTAAATCCTTGTAGTTGTTAATAATTTTTTTCTGATGAAAAGTACTGCATCTCAAATAAAACGTTTAACTTTTCATTAGAGGAATCGTTGTGAAATAATGCACTCGTCAAGATAAGGAAATCAGAGCAACTGGCATTTCCCCGCCCTTGTAGCAATTTTTATTGATTTTTTAGGGGGGGGGGATTTTGTGTATTATATATATTTCTGCGTGGACTGTTCTGAAAAACGTCGATGATCCGAGGCACAGGATGCACATTTTCAGTTTCTAAAAACACTCAAGGTTTGGAAGTCACCAAACTTTGGCGGCCATTTTTTCTCTAATTTTACCTCTGATTCCAAGCAACCCCCATGCCTCCTCCAGTCGCAAATATCCCGACTCCTCTCCAAGATAGATGGGGGTTTTTTTCATCAAAGGCAAGGCAATGAACTGATTTTAAGATTATACCAAGGACTCCTTAATACATGTAAAAATTATTTTAAAAATAATAAAGAGCGCCTGATTCCATGGCGTCGTCACACAAAATAATCTCCAGTTCTGATCCCCCCCCCCCTACCCTTTTCCCCCAGTGTCTGCTGGTGACGTCTATCGTCTGTCTGTTCCTGTGGGATGACCACTCACAGCCCTGGTGGGTGACATTGCTGGGCACGTGTCTGTGGTCACTGCTCACACTGCCTATCTTCATCGCGCTCGTGCATGAGGTCGTCAAGACAAAGGGGGCAGGCCTGGTGCAGGTGAGTTACACGGGGCTTAATTACTTCACAATAATTCCTTTTAAAATGCTTTGTATAAAACAATCAATTAGAATAGGTACTACTGAATGTAACGAAGTTTCTTGATAAGCATCTAGTACTTTCTCCCAATTTTCAGAATGTTTCGTGCTTGTCTATTTACATAAAGCTAGTACTTTATCTCATTCTTCACAATATTTCTTTGTTGTCTATTTTTTGATAAGTCCATTATTTTCTCTCATTCTTCACAATATTTTTTAGTTATCAATTTACATAAACCTAATAACTTTAAAAAGTCTTTCATAATATTACCTAGTTTTCTTTTTGTATACATCTAGAAAAAAAATCGTATTCCTGTGAATATCTCTGACTTTGTCTGATATAAATCTAGTAACTCTCGTACATTCTAACGTCAATCTCAACGTTTTCTCACAGAAGCTGCAAAAAGCCTGCCAGCCGCGCAAAGGTTGGGGCGCCACCCTCCACAGATGTACCAGTAACATCGAGTACTACCCGACGGTACATACGCACCTGGGGTTAGACATTAACCGGGAAGGACTCAATACTATAACAGGTGAAAATCATCTCCTATAGACCTGTTTCTGATACTTTAACAGGTGAAAACCTCCTACTGACTTGTTTCTGATACATGTAGGCCTACTTTAACAGGTGAAAACCTTCGCCTATAGACTTGTTTCTGATACTTGTACTTTTACAAGTGAAAACCTCCTATAGACTTGTTTCTGATTCATGTACTTTAAAAAGTGAAAACCTTCTCCTATAGAACATAAAATAATACCTGAAAAACATAATAAATTTAATGAAAATGTATAATCTATAGTATTTCAATGTTTTATTTATATGTGAGTGCAATGTGCTTGCGGTCCTAATTTCTGCATATCTATTGATAAGAAAAGCGCGCATCTCTGACCTTTTTTTTTTTTTTTAAAGTGTGCATTATAATGATTAATATATAGAATGTACACGGCTCCGATTGCTCATCTTAGAGAAAGACAGCCTATTTTTAGAAAGGGCACGGCAGTCATTAGAATTCTAACCGTTTATTGGAGTACTTTTAAATAAATAGATTTTTATGCAATGCTATGCTCTCATGAACGCTGCACGCAGAACGCTACCTATAAGGTAACCTCCGATTCCGTCATTGTTTCTATCATTGGTCTTAAGTGCGTTGGGACGTTTTCTTTTGCTTCACAGATCATGTTGAGTTCACAACGGTCGGGGTTCGAGTCCCAAGCCTGTCTCAGACTACACTTCTACCTGTGTCACCCAGTGTCAATAGGACAAAGCGACCTATGGACATGAGGCACAAAGCCATCCTGAACCACGCCTACAGCAACCCGCAGTGTAATATTTCCTCGGGTGAGACATGGGGAACATATGATTATTTTTGGTGTTGTTTAACGATGCATGTTAAGGGGTGGAGGTGGTGGTTGGGAGGGGTAGGTGGGTTTGCCTGTGTTTATGTGTGCGTGAGTGTGTGTGTGTGTGTGTGTGT